TATCATAATTGGATGTAAAATAGTTCATCAAATTGAATTCCTTATTCATTTTCTTAACAGTGTATTATGAAGAGCAGAAGTTTCTTTGTTTGTTTGTTTTCGTGTTTTTTTGCGGGGAAATATTTGCCCTTAGCTAACATCTGTTGCCAATCTTCTTTTTCCTCCCCAAAGCCCCAGTATATGGCTGTATATCCTAGTTGTACATTATTCTAGTTCTTCTATACGAGTCGCCACCACAGCATGGCAACTGCCAGATAGGTGGTGTGCTTTTGCAACCAGGAAGTGAACCCCGGCTGCCAGAGCAGTGAGCACCCAACTTTAACCACTAGGCAATCAGGACTGGCTCGAGCAGATGTTTTTAGTTTGGGAAAAGTTGACTTCATTCATTTCTTATTTTATTGATTGTGCTTTTGGTGTCACTTCTAAAGATCTATGCCCAATCCAAAGTCACAAAGATTTCTTCCTACATTTTCTTTCAGAACCTTTATAGTTTTAGGTTTTATGTTAGATCTATGACCCCACTATGAATTTATTTTTGTATATAATTTGAGGTATGGAACAAACTTCATTTTTTTTTTTGCACGTGTATATCCAATTATTAAAGAACCATTTGAAAGGATTATTCTCCACTAAATTGCCTTTGCACTTTTTATAAAAATCAGCTATCTATATATGTGTGGGTCTATTTCAGAACTTCTTATTCTGTTCATTTTATCTATTTGTCTACCTTTATTCCAATACCAGACTGTTTTGACTATTGCTGCTTTTTAATGTCTTGAAATCAGTAATGTTGGTCTTCCAACTTTCTTCTTTTTCAGAGTTGTCTTGTCTGTTCTAGCTCCTTTACATTCCAGCTCTTCAGCAGCTTTTCCTAATGTTAACATCTTATATAGCACTGGCACATTTATCAAAACAAAGAAATTAGCATTGGTACAATACTATTAGTTGAACTATAGATTTTAGTAGAATTTCACCAGGTTTTCCATTAATGCCTTTTTATTGATCCAGGATCCAGTCCAGGATACAACATTGTCTTTAGTCATTATGTTTAGATTTCTCCAGTCTGTGACAGTTTCTCTGTCTTTCCATGTTTTTTTGTCACTTTGATACCTTTGAAGAGTACTGGTGAAGTATTTTGTAGAATTTTCTTCAGTTTGGGCTTCTCTGGTGTTTTCTCATGATAAGATTGGGTTCACGGATTTTGGGGAAGTGTACTATCCTTTTTATATATTGTTGGATTTGACTTGCTAAAATTTTGTATGGAATTTTTGCATCTATGTGAGGAATATTGTCCTATAGTTATTTTTAAAAAAATATAATAATGTTTTTGTTTGAATCTGGTATCAGAGCAATGGTTGATTTATGGGACAAATTAGGAAGAAATTTTTCCATCTTTAATTTTCTGGAAGAGAGTATGCAGAATTGCAGAATTCTTCCTTAAATGTTTGGTGGAATGAACCAGTCAAGCCATCAGGGTCTGGTGCTCTCTTTGTGGGAAGGTTTTAAACTCAAATTTACTTTATTTAATAGGAATAGGGATCTTCAAGTTTACTATTTATTTCTCGAGTGAGCTTTGGCAATTTGCACTACAAGAAATATGGAAATACAATGTATAAAGCTGTGTGGGTGCTGACAAAGCAGAATTTAGGAGGGGAAGACATCTGCAGCATTAAATGACTATGTCAGAATAGAAGTAGTTCTCAAATCAATATTAGCTTGCTTCTTAAGCAAGTAGAATCATGGGAACACATTAAACTAAAATTAAGTAGAAGGAAGAAAATAACAGAGGTTAGAAGAGGAATCAATAAGATAGGTACCAGAAAAGCAAAGATACCAAAAGCTGGTTCTTTGAGATCAATGAAATTGAAAACATTTAACCAGCCATAACAGAAAAAAAGAAAAGACATAAATGACAAACATCAGGAATGAGAGCACTGACATTACTACAGACTCTACAGATATTAAAAAGGATAATAAGATAATACTGTAAATAATATTCTACCAACATATTAGACAACTCAGGCGAAAGGGACATATTTTCAAGTGCACATGGAGCATTCACCAAATGTTTTGGAGTGGAATGTCCTGTGAACATCAATTGGGTCAAGTTAGCTGATAGTATTTCTCAAATCTTATATATCTTTACTGATTTTCTGCATGTTTCTACCCATTAATAAAAAAGTTATTGCTATTTCCAATTATAATTTTCTATTTGTTAGAAATGTGTTTTAAAAAGGGAGTAGAAGGAAGGGGCAAAGAATATCTGTGAACTGAAAAGGGAAATGAAAGATCCAAAAGAACTAGACATACAAACTGCCGCCTTTCTTTAATTACTAGGCATTTGTATTTCTTTTGTACAAAATTTTTCAATAATTGCTAATTTTTGTAATTGGATGTTTGTGTTTTTATTGAATTGTTAGAGCCTAACAATTCAATTATACCTAAAGTATCTATGGTCATATATATCCTGTTAAATGTTGGTATTTAAGAAAATTCTTGATCCATATGTATTGACTAAGTAAAGATTGACTTAACTGAACTTTCTGAATTTTAATACATTATAGATTCTATTAGGTTTTCTATATTCTAAATTGGGTTTTGAATCATATAGTAAACATACAGAGATCACTTAATTTCTGCCTTTTCAACAGTTATGCACTTTTTTTCTGTTTCCTTTTTTGGTACATTGGCCAGATCTTCCCAAACAACATTAAATTGTAGTAACGGTAGTTGATATGCTTGTCCACTGTCAGTCTATACTGGGAGTAGCCCATATTTTAATACCAACTGAATTATTTTATTTTGCTTTCGGATACATGTTTATTTTCATTAAATAAATAGCTTTGTCTTAGTAATTTAGTGATTTTTATGAGGAATGGAGGTTGGATTTTATAAAATGACTTTTTTGAGCATCCATTAAAATTTTTTTGTAAATTATGAGCATGACAAATTGTAATGTTTCCTAATAATAAATAACCATCACATTGTTTGAATAAGATCAAGTTTGTGACTTGATTATTACATTATTGTGATGTTAATTGTTTTATTTTATTTAGAATTTTGCATATGGTATAAATGATATCACTTTATTATTTTCCTTTTGATTTTGAACTATTTTGTCATGTTTTAATGTCGAATTATGTAAAACAGTTTCACAGAACAAATTCAGAATATTTCTATATTTATCATATTATCAAAATGTTCATATAATATTATAAATTTCTCTTCATTGAAAGTTTGACTATAAAAAGCTCACAGTTTAACTGTAAAAAGAACTTTGGCAAAGACTATTTTGTGAGTCAATTCTTTCATAAGTGGTATTCATTTTTTTCCATGGTTAGAGCTTCATTCAAATTTCCACCACTTCTTTGCTTATCTTTAATATTTATGTGCATATAAATAGCAAAACATATTCTTTGAAATGACAATGTCATTTGCTGAAAGTCTGAAAGTAAAAAAGTTCAGAAATGTTATTTTTCTCTGGTTTTTGTCTTAAATAGATTCTTGTTGGTTCCATTTGTTTTGAATTCCTTTATTCCTCTCCATATGATGGCAGGATTTCACAGTGCATTCTTCTCTTTTTGTTCTTCTTTTTGGTTTTCATTGCATCTGTGTGCCAGAACTTGGTTCATCCTTTAATGTTTCACTTCTCAGTGTGATTTTGTGTCAGACGTGTCTTTTCAAATTAGCATCAAGTTATGCATTTTTAAACTTTCTGTTGAACTTAGGAAACAGAAAAATACACATAGCATAAGTGTTAGAGCTCAATTATCACAAAGTGAATTCACCCATAGTCATCATCCAGGTTGAGAAACAGAACATTATCACCATCCTCAAAGCTTTGTGCTCCCTCCTAATCTCTACTCTGCAAACGTATTACTAGCTTGACTATTAACACCATAGTAAGTATGAACTTATTTTGTACTTGCATACATAAAAGTTTGAAGCATTTTTGTAATACGATTCTTTTCATTCATCATTTTATATGTGAGATTCATCTATGTAGTTGCATGTTCCTAGGTTTTCTGTTTACTTTCATTGTTTTTTGGTATTTTATTGAATGAATATATCACAATTTATTTATATATCTGCTTTTGATTATCAGTTAATTCTACTTTGGAGCTATTATGAATAATGCTCCAATGTACATCCTAGTACATGTATTTCAATGCAAATATTTATGCATTGAATGCCTGTTGGAATGTACCTAGGAGTGGAATATAATATATATATGTGTATATATGTATTATATTGACTAGTATATCATATACACTTGTATTATATATGTGTATTATCATATATCACATATATTTATTATATATGATATATGTATATATGCATTACGTATATGTATTATATATGTTATATGTATATATGTATTACATATATGTATTATATATGTGATATGCTAATTAATCTGCATAATCACCAGTCCTTGGCTTTGTCAGTTTTCACTTTATTTTAGCCACATTCTGACAACGTGTAGTAGCATCTCTCTGTAGTTTAAATATACACTTCACCAGTTTCTAATGAGGCTGCCTTTTTTCATATGCACACTAGCATTTGGATATCCTCATTTGTGAAGTGCTTGTTCACGTATTTTGCCCACCATTCTAATTACATTATTTGTCTTTTTCTTAGCAACATGCAGACGTTATCATGGATATGAGTCTTTTTTAAGATATGTGTATTATAAGTATTTTTTCACATTCTTTGATTTGCCTTTACACTTTCTAAATATTTCTTTTTCCTGATTGGGAGTTCTTGATTGCAATTTACCAATTTTTAATGGGTAAATTTTATGGTCCATTTAAGAAATCTTTGCTTACCTCCAGGTCACGGAGTTATTTTATATTACCATTGAGAAGCTTGTTAGGGTGCCACACAATATACAGAGGGGCGTACTGTTCCCTCCACTCTTTAAAACATTGGACTTTGTCAAATCACACCACACAAAATCTAACTACAAAAAGTAACTTCAGTGTCTACTACGCATGCAGACATAAGCAAAATGAAGGAAATGCCTGGATGAGCAGCATCTGTATCTCCCCAGCAAGAGTTTGCTCTTGGATGTCTGGCAGAGGAGAAGGAAGAGAGTGAGTGAATTTGTGTGGGCAAGATACATAGACGATAATATAATAATACATTAATCTAGATGAGATGCCCCTATATCATAATCTGAAATCATGGAATTGAGGAGAAAAAGGTGAATTAAGATATGGAAGAGGTAAAATCAACAAGTCTTGGTGTTGAAATAGTTTTGGAAGGTGAAGCTGTCCCAGATGATTTCAGAGATTCTGAGGTAGATGACTAGGTTTTAGGAACCAAGATAGAAGAAGAAGAAAAGGAAGATTTCTCTGGAAACAGAAATAACTTTATCGAGTTTTGCTTGTTTTGTGTTTGAATTGTCTTTGGGACTTTTGGATAGAGAAGTCTGATGACTATCTGGAAATCTAATTTTGAATCTAAAGAGAAAACCAGGACTAAAGACAAAAGATTGGGAAGCTATTGGCTTGTAAATAATGTTGTTGATACTTGGAGAATTTCAGAAAAAATGACTCAGGACTTGAAAACCAGTGAATTAAGATACCAATAACATATATTTTAAAATAAGTGTAAAGAAGATTCAATATGTGAAAAGAGACCTTGACATAAGAGAAAACATTCTAACAGTAACAGAAGCGATAGTAAATTAATTGAGTATTTGGCTTGTATGATGAATAATTATGCCTATCAGGAATTGGGTTGGTAAGTCATGGAAGTGTAGAAAGAATCATGAAACCAAATTCTGACAGTTCTCATTCTTCAAGGTCCTTAAGGCCAACGATTTACTTGACTAATCCCAGGGTCTGTTGCAATCACTTTGTTTGTTTTGTCATATCATGTGTCTTAGCCTTAAAATCTGAAAAATAAACTCTTGACCATGAAAAATGCACTAAAATAGTGTCATGTTAAACTATTAGTTGCATTTAAGAAGCGGACTATCCATCTTTCCTGAGTGGTGAATGCTTGCATCACTCTTGGCCCACTACAAGGTTCTGGTTTTTGTGAAGTTTCTGTAGTTCATTTATAAATCCTAAACATAACTGATACGATTACTTAGGAATAGAATGAAAATAGGAGAGAACTGGTTATATAATTCTTAGAACTACATTGAGGTGAGAGCAAAACAAAAGACTTCAGTGAAGACTTGGAGAGAAATAGGAGAATGAATGGAGAGAATCAGAGTAGAGAGAAATAATGGGCATGCATGAAGACGGTAGTTTTAAAAGGTAGTAGTAGTCGGCAGTTTCAAAAGCTGCAATGGTGACAAGAACAAGACTGAAAGCATGCAGTAGACTTTCAACTAGAATTATAGACTTTTGGAAGTAAGCTAAAGGTGATACTGATGCGTAATTCAATCTGAATTGAAAACCAATACATCAGAAGAATTTCCATTTCATTTATCTCTGAGATTCTCTTATTTCATGCAACAAACCTATCACAGAATTATTATTTTTTTTTTTACTGAAGTAATCATTAGAAGAGTATGAGAAATAGCTATTACCTTTTATTGAGCATCTTTTATATCCTGGGCACCATTACACATTTTATATATATTATCTTTTTTAGTCTTTCACTCAATGAGTTAGAGATTATATATATCTACTTTACAGATGGGCAGCTGGGGCTTAGAAAGTTTAATTCAAAAGTTACATACAGGGGGCCTGCCCCATGGCTGAATGGTTAAGTTCACGTGCTCCGCTTTGGCGACCTGGGGTTTCACCGGTTTGGATCCTGGGTGTGGACATGGCACTGCTCATCAAACCTTGCTGAGGCAGTGTCCCACATAGCACAACCAGAAGGACCTACAACTAGAGTACACAACTATGTACTGGGGGGCTTTGGGGAGAAGAATAAGAAGAAAAAAAAAAGTCTCACAACAAGAATAAAACTATTTAAAAAAAAGGTCACATACAGAGTAAGTGGCTGAGATTTAACATAAAGCCTGTGCTCTAGTCATACAACAAATTGTCTGAGAAAACTAATATCCCTATCGTGATCTCTTCTGAACTCTCTTCACTATTTTGTTAACAGGCGTTATTTCTTCAAGAGAGAAAACTCTAGGAAACTAAAGAGAAGAGAGAAGAGAATCTCAAATGGTGACGGTTTTTTTCAACCTCATCTACACCTCAATTTTAAGACATTTTATAATATTTAAGAATTAGCAGAGAGGTTACAAGATAGAAATTAGAAACTACCAAAGACTGTTCATTTAAAAGTATCTATTGTCCATGAAATCCAGCTGAAAGGCTCTATCAGTTACTAAAACATCCCTGGAAGCCAACTGCTTTCAAAAAGACCTCTACCACTAGCCTAAGATGGTGCCACTAGCATATTATGATCAACCCTTTGTGCCATTAGCACACTCTTACCAACTGGCCACAACCAACTCATTAACACCTCAATGTACGGGTGAAAAACTAAATCAACCCAATGACCAATCTGTGGTCAGAGTTCAATCTCATAATGATAACCCTGCAGCTCCTCCACTAAACTCCAACCAGAAGGTGCAGAGATCCTCAATATTGCCCTCTGCCAAGTCTCAGGACACAATTTCACCGGGCTTCTACAACAGGGTTTTAAAATCACCATTGCCCCACTCCGAACGTCAGGCCACACCTTCATTAAACCTCCCCTGGAGAACTTCATTGCGGCCTAATCAGAGAACCCTGAACTCACCTTTTTTTCATCCCAAACCTCAGACGACATCTTCGCTTGACCTTAAGAAGACATCGACATCACTGGAGCCCAGTCAAACAGCCTTGAGATCACAATTACCCTTCCCCAAAACTTGGAAAACATCTTCCCCAGACCTTTGCTGGACGTCACCTTCACTGAAGTCTAATCAAAGAGTCTCCAGTTCATCATTATCCCCCTTCAAATATCAAGAAACACCTTCCCTAGACAACCTGTGGACATCACCTTCTTTGGGACCCAATCAAAGAGCCCTTAACTCAACATTACCTCACACTAAGACTGAGAAAACATTTCCATTGAACAGTCTTTGGACATCTTTATTAGAGCACAACCAAAGATCTTTGAGCTCACCATCACTGAACTCGATACCTCAAACAAACGATGTGCTTCACTCATCACCTTCAATGGAGCCCAGTCAAATGGCTCTGAGCTCACAGTTACCTGACTCCAGACCTCGGACAATACCTATATTGAGCTCTAATTCCAGTATTCTGAGCTTATCATTGTCTAATTCAAAATCGAAGCTGTCACCTTTACCACATTCTGTCCACCAGACTCAGAGTTTGCCACTGTTCCGGCCCAAACCTCAGACGATGCTTACACTTGATCGTGACGTCAGGACTCTGAGCTCACCAATTTGTCACTCCAAGTTTCAGAACACCATTTCACCAAATGACAAATACAGAGCCACAGGTTTATCTTCTCCTTATCCCAAACTGAACGTCTCAGGTCGATCCTTATCAAGCTCCACACACCGCATCAGGAACAAAGCTGCTTCAACACTGGGCTCCAGACTCCTGAGTAAGAGCAGTTTTGATTTTCGTGCAAAGACAGAACCAAATAAAGAAATTCCATGGACTTTAGATTATATTTATCCCTGCATTGTTAAAGGTGGAACTATCCCTGATGATGTTCTCAATAAAATTGTCAATTCTCTCTCCAAGAACAGGATCCAGAGGGATCTCTCTAGGCAGATTCTCTTTCGAAGGATGAGGGGAAGGCCCAATCCTCATCCTGGTCCCCGCCTGTCATCAAGCTATGTGGTTTGTTTAGCTTGTGCTTCCTGCATAAAATCTCAGTGTAACCATCTTACAGGAAGGAAAGATCCTCGTAGTGCAACACTGTTTGTCATACCAACACCTGAGCCTAGTTCTGAGGGGAAAATAAAGGTGAAGTTAGTTCTTATCCTTTGCCTACCACAGACTTCTTTCTCATCTTGTCTCCCATGCCCTGTGAAAGAAAATCAGCCAGAAGAAAGCTCTGAAGACAACTTTGAAGAAGTGGAGAAGATATCACAATTTTCCCCTCCATCTGAACCTGATATTACCCAGGGGTTAAATATGAAGACAACACGGCTGACAGTAGCCCGTGAAAACAAAGTTGTAAGCCAACAGCCCCAAGCTGTTGACTGGCTGCTTTATGTTAAGAAAAGTAGCAATTCTCTGCCAAAGCCCCTGCTCTCAGCCTCTTCCTCCTCCACATCCTCCTCCTCATCCTCCTCTTGTTCATCTTCTTTTTCCTCCTCTTCCACTTCACCTCATCCTTCCAAAGAGTCTACCACATCTACCCTCTCAGGTTGTGTGTTCACTAAGGTACTTGGTGATCACAAGTTGCCTCCAGGGGTTTCCTGGCTTGAGTTTATATGTAGTAAAAATCACCAGCCACTTCCTGGAAAACCACATCCAAGTCAATCACCACCTCCCCAAATAAGGCCTGTGAGGAGTAGCACCCCAGGAAAAGGGCCAAAGGGGTCAAAGATACTGTTCAAACTTTTCCAGACAAAGTCTCAAAATGAGAAAAGTCTTGATTAAATTAACTTTTTTTAAAAAGAGATTAACCTCTTAGTTCTTTGAAACTAGAGTTTGATTTCCTGTTATACTTATTATAATTCTTAGTAATAATTGTGTGACTCTATTTTAGCTGATGAAGCACCTAGTTAAGGGGAACTATTACTCCTAAGTCTATTTTCTAGATAAATAATAGACCACGATCTCCTAGGAGCCAAAACTGACTCCTATGTTTTTAACCAAAAGCCTGGCTTATAGTAGCCACTATATAATCATTATTAGATAAATTAATCGTAACCGACCATAGACCAGAAATACTTCATCTGTCTTGCCCTGAACAGTATCTAGCTCATTGTTATTCTCTTTCCTCATAAGACATGATAATGACAGTATCCTTAAGCCAATTTATGCTAATCTATTTCCCTATCTCCAAAGAAAATTCAGATCATGTTCAACAGGTAGGAATAGATAGAGAGAGGATTCTCTTCAGTTATGTGTTCCTAGGGAAAATTCTTCTGTGCTAAGATCTCACACTCTGAAGTACAATGATTTATTCAACCTTAGTTAACAAATCTCAGGACAGAATAACTAACTGGTACAGATAACCCTACCACATGCTGACTGTGACAATAGTTAAATTATGGTCTCTAAAGTCACCTGTTCATTACTTCTATCTGTACAGCCAAAATGGGTTAATAAAAATGTTTAAAGAATGTTTTTGTTTCACTGGGTCTACTGGTAATGGGCAAGGAAGGGAGTTGTCTTACCTGCTCACCTTAAGGGATCATCTCTATCCCCTGGGGCTAGAATTAGTGTCTCTTGCACACACCGTTGACTCAGAGTTCTGCCTCTCCACCCCACATCTTTCTGATCACCAGACTGCATGCTGGACAGTTCCAAATGGAACATTGCATAGGCATCTCACACTCACATGGCCACACCAGAATTTATCATCTTTACATTTACAATTTGCATCTTTAAGTTTATAATCCTTTGCACCCTGTGTTCCTTATTTCAGTAGATGTACTACCATCCATCATAGAATCATGTTTGATTACTTTTTCCATTTCCTGCCCCTCTCCAAGCCCATGAGTTCTATGGCCTTATTATCTCTAGAATCCAGCCTTTTTCTCCAACCAGATTGTCACTATTCTAGTTGTGGTCACAGCCATTTGTCACCTGGATTACTGCAATAACTCCTAAACATGCACTCTGACTTTGGAATGCATTTCTGAGACACAAATTTGATAATGCCACTCTACTGCTTATAATCCTTTCATCATAGCTCATTGTTTTTTTGGGAAAGTCTAAATTCCTTTTATGATTGCACTATAATAACCTCTCAAGACTGATTTCTTATTCTTCTCCAGTATCTTATGGGTGCCTCAGCCACACCAATTTCTTTACCATGCATAGAATGTACCAAGGCCTCTCTTACTTTCTACACTTTAAATCAACAATTCTGCTATCCAGAAGGATCTTCCCATCTGTACATTTTTATCCTACAAGGCTCTGTTTTATCTTGACATCTTCTGGGAAGCATTTTCCTGATCCATTTACAGAGGTTTTAGTTGGCCTTTTTATTACCATGAAACCCTGTGTTCACTCTTTGTACTGCTCTTAACCACATTATAAAGCAATCATTTTTTGTCTGTCTTCACTAACTAGACTGAAAACTCCTTGTTCAACATTTTATTTTTATTTGATACCTAGTCCTTAGAGTAGAGTATACGTCCTAAAATATGTGTTGATATTGAGTTAATGCTATTGAAGCTCTTCATCTTTTTTAATTCTCTGAAATAAGTAACGTTTCATCAGTCTGCTTCTTTCCCATAAGATTAATATTGAATTGCTCTTCGTACCGTTTTGGGTGAGAACATATATCAAAATGTTACTGATGACAGCAGTTATCCTTGTCTTATTTCTTATGTTAAATGTGTTTCGTTGTAGTATTTCAGTATTAAATATGGTGTTGGCTGGTGTACAGCTGATCAGTGAAGATGAGGAAGAACAGGTATGCGATAATGTGTTCACAGCTTTCTCGAACCTCTTTAGGAAACCCTTCACGTGTGCTTCATTCATCTTGAACTTCTCTTTTGGTGACACGCATCACTTTTGTATTTGCTTGTTTAATATGTTCTCTGCTAGACTAAACGTCCTGAGTGAAGGTCCTGTTTCTGTCTTGTTTACTAACTCCTCAGGACCTAGCGGAACCTGGCACACACTAAGTAATCAATAAATATTTATGGAATGAAATTAAACTGAGGAGTTCAATGATTTTTATTTATTGATGTAATTTATGTTTAATTTTCCACCTTTAGGTTGTTTCCTAAACTTTATGCCTCATTCTAGTTTCACCTTTTTCCTTTACTTTTTGTACTTTGATATAATTGTTTTAAACTTCTCTATTGTATTGACAGTTATTTATCCTGTTCTCAATTATAACTGTGTCCACTTTCAAGATTTTTTCAAAAAGATTCTTTAACCAGTATTTTCTAATTTGGAAATAAAACTGCCTGAAACTTAGGGGAAAAAATGCCTTAGCAACAAATATCTAACTCTCTCTGCCAGCCTCTGTTGAGATACAATAGAATTTCAAAGTAGAGAGCAACATGTGTCATGCCAGAAAAACCAAGAAGTTTCTGCCAGATCTTGTCCAGATGAGATCAGATTTAAGAAGGGCGTAAGGGCACAAAATTTGCTATATTTAAAGAAAGAGTTCATCTGAAAAGAAGTAGAAGAAGATATTAATTGCATCTCATTAATGCCTTTTCCTTAATGGAAAAGGCTGGACCTGGGAACAGACTATATAACATTTGAGAGTTAGAAAGTGGATCCTATGAGTTGTCATTTTGCTCAAACCAATTGACGCAAAGTGGTATGGCCTACCTGGATGATAATTTGATAATGATATCAAAACCTTAATAATATACATTACCATTTTCCTTATGGTCATCTTCCTTGGAACTTACTTTAAGGAAATCGTCATGACTATGGAGAGTTATATAAATGAGTAAGCACTGTGTTTCTTCATGATATTAAGAGATTGGAAGAAATCTAGACGTTCATGTATAGAAAAGTGTTTAAATATACTGCAATCCATATATGTGATATTTTTTCCTAGTGGAAAATTTGTTATTTATAATATTGCTGCTATATTTATGTTAGGAAAAAACTGCCTTCTTTAGGAAAATATCTTGTTGAAAACCCTTGGGCATGAATAATGATCCTGTTTAAGTTTCAAACAGGAACTTTTTTTTGTGCTGAGGAAGATTCACCCTGAACTAACATCTGTTGCCAATCTTCCTCTTTTTGCTTGAGGAAGACTCCCCCTGAACTACCATCTGTGCCAGTCTCCCCCTATTTTGTATGTAGTTTACCACCACAGCACGGCTGCTGATGAGTGGTATAGGCTGCTGGGAACTGAACCCAGGCTGCCAAAGTGGAGCATGCCCAACTTAACCACTAGGCAACAGGGTCAGCCCTATAAACAGACACTTTTTGATGAGAGACGGCAAAAAGAGGAGAGAAAATATATCATTTATGATTTAAGTGAACACATACGCAGATTATAAGACATCACATGCAATTTATATGATTCTATCTTGTAAAACATTGAAATTATGCATAAATGTATATGTATGTATTTGTGAAAATCTATTTCATATATATGAGAAAGATGGAGTGACCAGAGGAAAACACCAAAATCTTGAATAAAAGTGAATTTTATTGAGGAATAGTTATAAGGAAGTGTTTAGGAAATGGATATATTTTTTCTTTTCCTTTTTTAATATTTTCTAAATCTTCGATGAATATTAATTTCTTTTATGGTCAAGATTTAAAACAAATGATATAAAAATTAAAAAATAAGAGCTGACCCCGTGGAATGGTGGTTAAGTTTGGTGTGTTCTGCTTCGGCGGCCAATGTTTGCAGGTTTGGATCCCAGACAGGGACCTACACCACTTGTCAGCCATGCCGTGACAGCAATCCACATACAAAATAGAGGAAGATTGGCACAGATGTTTGCTCAGGACTAACCTTCCTCAGCAAAAATAATAAAAATAAAAGAAATAAAAAATAAAACTTGTTTTGTCTCCTCTATTTTAGATGAAGTATGTAGCCCACAATTTTGCTGTTCTACTCCTTTCCATTTATTGATATCATTTGTGGCTTTATACATTCACAGGAAATACATATTTTTATGAGATATATGCTTTGTTCAGGAGAAGTGTGTTTCTGTTGTTTTAAAGTCTATTAAAATATTTTTAAAATTCCATATTCTCTACCTCAATATTCATTGCCAGACTTATTACACCATTTTTAAATTTATTTGTTTATTTTCAATTATGAAACATTTCAAATCTATAGAGAAAGATAGACAATATGTTGACAAAAGTCTTTACACCACCACTTGGCTTTGTCAATTTTTATTCCTCTATTGCATTTACTTTGTGTGTTAAATAAATAAAACATTATTGATACAAGTGCTCACCTCTGTGTGTATAACCATCCAGGACCACGAGTCTATCTTGCACTCCCAGAAGTAACCACTGTCATGAATTTGGTGTAAGTCATATCAGTCTAGCTTTTAGAAATTTACTAATATTTATGGATCCATAACGATCTATTCTTTTGAATGTTCTAAAGTTTTGCATATATTTTATCCTAATGTATTTAACATTTGAAATTTATTGATCTGGAATATGTTTTTGAGATTTATCCTTTTTGTAAGATATAGCTAAGTCATTCATAGGTCATTCATTTTCATTTCTGATATATATATATGCATATACACACATACATATAAATTAATGTATAGTATATAACTGAACAGTGTGAATTTATTACAATTTATGTATTCATTTTTTAGTTGAATAGTTAGTTTACATTTTTTGTTATCACAGACAGTGTTGCATTGACATTCTTTTTTAAAAATTTTTTATTGAGATATAATTGATGTATAACATTGTATTAGTTTCACATGTACAACATGATGATTTGATATTTGTATATATTTTGAAATGATCACCACAATAAGTCTAGTTAACATCCATCCCCATATATAGTTACCAAATTTTTTTCTTGTGATGAGAACTTTCAAGATCTACTTTCTTGGCAACTTCCAAATGTGCAGCACAGTATTATTAACTGTAGTCACCAAGCACCTATTTTTCATATCCTATTTTGCACATGTGTAGGAAGTTCCCAAGAGTCACACTGTGCAATATTTGGTCCACGGATTAGCAGCATCAGTATCACCAAAGATCTTGTTAGAAATGCAGAATTTCACCCTATCTCAAATATACAGAATCACAATCTGAATTTCATAAGATTCTCAGCTAAGTTTTACACACATTAAGCATTTGAGAAACACTGTATTAGAGTGTGTAACTTAGGGTGGAATTGATGATCGCAACACTGCTGTCCAATAAAAATATAACATGTCCTATATAATTTTAAAGCTTCTTAGATCCACATTAGAAATTAAAAATAAATAGGTAAAATTAATTTAATAATATATTTTATTTAATACCATATAGTTAAAAGTTTTCCATTTCAATAAGAAATTAAGACTTCTTCTCAACCAGAGTTGATTGTGCCCCCAGAGGATATTTGGCAATTTCTAAAGACATTTTTGAATGTCATGACCGGGAAGATGTTTTAGGTGTTCTAGGTCATGATTAGGTAGAATAAATATAATGCAAT